ATGAGCTTGTGGGGCCTTTTCGGGTTGAGGATGAGTCAAGCTCAACTCCCAGTCCTACTGCCAGTTCCTGGAAGACACCTTCTTCAAGCAGTGGTACAGGAAGAAGTCTGCATCCTTCAAGAAAAACATGATTTTCATGCAGGACAATGCTCCATCAGACGCGTCCAAGTACTCCACAGCGTGGCTGGCAAGAAAGGGTATAAAAGAAGAAAATCTAATGACATGGCCTCCTTGTTCACCTGATCTGAACCCCATTGGGAACCTGTGGTCCATCATCAAATGTGAGATTTACAAGGAGGGAAAACAGTACACCTCTCTGAACAGTGTCTGGGAGGCTGTGGTTGCTGCTGCACTCAATGTTGATGGTGAACAGATCAAAACACTGACAGAATCCATGGATGGCAGGCTTTTGAGTGTCCTTACAAGAAAGGTGGCTATATTGGTCACTGATTTGTTTTGTTTTGTTTTGAATGTCAGAAATGTATATTTGTGAATGTTGAGATGTTATATTGGTTTCACTGGTAATAATAGAAAATAATTTAGAATGGGTATATATTTGTTTTTGTTAAGTTGCCTAATAATTATGCACAGTAATAGTCACCTGCACACACAGATATCCCCCTAACATAGCTAAAACTAAAAACAAACTAAAAACTACTTCCAAAAATATTCAGCTTTGATATTAATGAGTTTTTTGGGTTCATTGAGAACATGGTTGTTGTTCAATAATAAAATTAATCCTCAAAAATACAACTTGCCTAATAATTCTGCACTCCCTGTACACACTGCTTCCACTACACACAAACACACTGCATCACCTGCACAAACTGGTATCCCTATACACTACATACCATAAGCACACATATTAGATCCTCTACAATAACACATAACACATCCCCTACACACTCCACTCCCTGTGAGCGAACTCATGGGTGGGTAGAACTTATGAGTGGGCCTTATGGGCATACTCACCGTCAGGCCCTGGGGCCCAGACCTTGAGCTGTGTAAGGGGCCCCAAAAAAATGGAGCTGCTTCCAGTTCTCCCAGAACATTGAATTTTGTGACCACAGTTGCAAACAGCCTCCAGAGATCCTGTTCTACACCAGACCAGTGGAGCCAAACTGCAGCCCATCATCATCCTCATTTGGTTGTAAGTAGGCAATCTAGTATATTATTAGTGACAATAATCTATAATTTACCTCACATTAAAGGGACACTATATTTCCCAGAACGACTGGAGCTTAATGAAGTGGTTCTGGTGTCTATAGCCGGTCCCTGCAGGCTTTTTAATGTAAACACACACTGTGGGCAGCACTGGCGTTAGTTCGTATGGCAGCTCATATAGGTGGGGCATTGTGATGTCACATGGGGGGCGGCAAATACAGCTGTTCCCCATGCAGCCACAGGTGCCTCTGTGCTGGGAGATTGTGATTACTCTTCACTTCCTCCCAGCCTACAGAGCAGCGCATGGGAGAGAGAGAGGAGGAGGCATGATTTAATCTTACAACAAATCCACTAAGCAAATCTTTATAAATTTGGGTGGGATCAGCTCTGTTTCCACAGTTTATTGGTGTTTACTCTGATGTCTGTATTAATATTGAGGGATTTCTAAGTAGTAACATCAGTGTGTGTCAGCAGGGCCAGCCGTTGGGGTGTGCACGCTGTGCGGTCACGCAGGGTGCCATCACAACAGAGGCGCCCGGCGGACAACACAGCTCACAAGTTGGGGACACCAGCCTATTCAATTTAAACGATTCGCTGGTGGTCCACTGGTACGCACCAGTAGTAGGTGCAGTCAGATTATAGCCTCTCCCTCGTGGTTCCGGCGCTCAGTTAGTGAGTCAGAGCACACGCTCAGAGATTCTCAGCCTGCGCTTTGACAACATTGAAAGTCAGAGCCGTGAAGGAGCGGGTATGGCAAAGAGCTAGTGATTAGCATAACATCAATATCCGTTATAAAACCAGGAAAAGGTGGGCACCATTGCACTGATTTGGTGGTGCAATGGGCCACTTGACTGATTTTGCCCCCCAGGCCTAAGGCTGCCAGCCCTCCCCTGAGCATTAACATGTCAAAGGACTTCCTATCTAAGAGGCAAACCAGGCTTCCAGGGCACTTAGGTGTGACTTCTCACAAATTACTGAATAGCTCTGCTGGAGTCCCCAGCTTCAAAGAATACCTCAGGTTGTAAGCCCTGTCCTTTCATACAATCAATTAAAGGACCACTCTAGGCACCCAGACCACTTCAGCTTAATGAAGTGGTCTGGGTGCCAGGTCTAGCTAGGGTTAACCCATTCTTTTATAAACATAGCAGTTTTATAAACATAGCCTTCCCCCAAAGCCTCTAGCGGCTGTCTCATTGACAGCCGCTAGAGGCGCTTGCGTGCTTCTCACTGTGATTTTCACAGTGACAGCACGCCAGCGTCCATAGGAAAGCATTGATAATGCTTTCCTATGCGACCGGCTGAATGCGCGCGCAGCTCTTGCCGCGCGTGCGCATTCAGCCGACGGGGAGGATCGGAGGAGGAGAGCTCCCCACCCAGCGCTGGAAAAAGGTAAGTTTAAACCCCTTTCCCCCTTCCAGAGCCGGACGAGTATGTTTTCCTGGCACTATAGTGGTCCTTTAACCCCTTCTGTAATGTTAAAATGTGTGTGTGGAGGTTTGGAACTATTGTAGACTTTCTGGACCTGAGAGAGAACTTGATTATCTCCCAGACACAATGACGCCAGGGCGTGCTTATGTTTTGGGTTACTTTAAATGGAGACCCCCTGTGCATAAAAGCTGTGTGTTCCAAATAAAGACTGTCAGAGTTTGTACCTCCAGAAATGTGTCTTGTCGAGTTACTGGAGGGGAGGAAGATTTAACCCCTGTGTCTGCTGTTCCAGCTTGCAGTGGGGAAAGTCCTTGTAAGGACTAAGAGCTTCCAGGATTAAGTGCCGTCACTTCTTGGGAGCGCATAGAGCTAAGTCCCTTAACCATGTAAGAGTTCCTGATCGGCTGAAGGAAGGGAACTACCAGAGGTAACTGGCCTGGTTACCCGGGAATCCGCTGCACATGCCATTACGCAGCTTCTCGCAGGAGAGCAGACACCATCCACCATGACACAGCTCCCGCAGGAGAATAGACACCAACCGCCACGATGCAGCTCCCGCAGGAGAGCGGAAACCATCCGCCATGACGCAGATCGTGAATTAGAGCAGACACCAACCACCATTAGGCAGCTCCCACAGGAGAGCAGACACCATACGCCATGATGCAGCTCCCGCAGGAGAATAGACACCAACCACCATTAGGCAGCTCCCGCAGGAGAGCAGACACCATGCGCCATGACGCAGCTCCCGCAGGAGAATAGACACTATCCACCATGAAGCAGCTCTCGCAGGAGAGCAGACACTTTTCCGCCATGACGCAGCTCCCGCAGGAGAGCAGGCACCAACCGCCATGACGCAGCTCCCTCAGGAGAGCAGACACCATCCGCCATGACGCAGCTCCCGCAGGAAAGCAGACACCATCCGCCATGACGCAGCTCCCACAGGAGAGCAGGCACCATCCGCCATGATGCAGCTTCCACAGGAGAGCAGACACCATCCGCCATGATGCAGCTCCTGCAGGAGAGCAGACACCATCCGCTATGACGCAGGTGAGCAGGCACCATCCGCCATGACGCAGCTTCCACAGGAGAGCAGACATTATCCGTCATGATGCAGTTTGCGCAGGAGAGTAGACACCATCCACCAGGGCTGCCATCAGAAATTTTGGGGCCCCTGACACAGCTCAAGGTCTGGGCCCCCCGGTGCCTGCACCCGAGTCCGCCCAAAGTGCTGCCCCCACCCCCACCCGAGTCCGCACACAGGGTTGCAGTGTCTGCAGGGCTGGTGCAAGGATTTTTGCCGC